AAATAAATAAATAAATAAATAAATAAATAAATAAATAAATAAATAAATAAATAAATAAATAAATAAAATACTCAAGCACACAGCAAGATATCAAAAATGACTTTACATCTAAGATCTTACCTGAATATTCCGCTGTATGAAATCATCTTTATTTTGCAGTCCAGAATCTGTTTTACTTGTTGGTTTTTTTCTACTGCCTCTGCCACTCTTTCCTGCTGATTTCTTGGTGGTTTCAGTTCCTCTGTTTGTACTGGCATTAGACGTCTGGGAACCCCCTGTGTAATGAGAAAATGAGTGTTGAAACACAAAATTTGGCACACAGTAAATTAGGATAATATGTTGCATTACAAATCAATTCTTGGGGTTAGATGGACAGTCAAATAATATCAAGACAGCCGAGCTGATAACCATAATCGAATATGGAAATTATTTTAAGATAAAATTTGAAGACACCAAACAATACAACCAGGCATGGTAGATCAGCCAGACTAAACACAAATAGATTTAAACAGACAAAAGAATTCAGTAGAAAGATTCAAATTATAGCTCACCTGCGCTTGTAGTGGTATCCTCAGATGCATTAGTTGTTCTGGATCTATCAGTAATATTGCCATTCACCATATCATCTAAATGTGGCTGTGTTGCAAATACTGGAGTCACTGGAGGTGACTCATCATCTAAGCCAACACCTACAGTTTATATATAGTTATGCATATAGTTAGTTTCCTTTATAGTACTAATATCAAACATACCTGTATACAGACAATGAAAGTGCATAATCATCACATAGAACTACAGATTTTCTCAAATTGATTATCTTTTTTTTTTAATGTCTGCAAAGGTGATTAAAAATATTTTCAATAACTAGCAACACAGAGACGTATGATACATGTGTAATTTCTGATCATGACCTGCAGTAATAATTACTTTCAGCAGTTAACCTTGCGGATAGACACACCCACCCCAATCCCATTAATACAATTCTTGCTCTCTTTAGACCCTCATTAACATCAAATGTGCATGTTTAACATAATATGAATAGCGATTGGTAATCCAATACAACAGGTACAGGCAAGCCTACTTTCTGTCCTGCATGTCACATCACGGAGAAAAGGCAAGATTGCCTGACCTGGTGCTGGTAGACAGTCGACTGAATAGTGTTACAGTATGATATTTTATTTTATACGGCAAGGAAAATTGCAAATTACAAAAATATATGTGTGTATTGGTACATTATGTATAACACATACAAAGATGTAATTTGAAAATTTCCCAGCTATTGATAATTGTTAAAATAAAATCTCACACTGTGGATCACTTTTTTTGTGGATCATTTTTGCCTGTATTTATAAAAAGACACCATCTTATGATTACATACGTATTTAAATGTTACTTAGATATTACACCATATCAATATTACCAATAACCACAAGCTCAATATTCCTTTGTTTGTGAACATGGTGGAACAAAATAATGCTTCCTTTATGATGACTGTACCATGCACAACAGGCAAACGGCAAGTTGACTTTCTGACCATGAAATGTTCAAGGGTAAAAGGTCAACTTGTCGTGCCTGGTGTTGGTGAGTTCTGTGGATCCTGGTTAAAACTGTACACGCATCTGACTTGTTCGTTGACTGCAGAAATAATTCTGAAACTTGGTTACAGTTGGTAGAGATTGCTATTTATGGGTAAGCATGTGTAAAATGCAAGCCTTGTCCCTAAATCATACCCATAAACTGTTGATGACAGCACTTCAAGATCAGACTGCTTGTTCAGGCAGTTTGCTACATGATGCAATGCATGGAAGCATGATTTTTTCTTTTCAGTGTGATCACTATTTTCATGAATACATTTTTTGTACTTGAGAATGAAAAGCTTGTGAATGGTTTTTGATAAATGTTGATATCTGTAATTATTTGCAATGACCATGATGCTTTTTTTTTTTAAAAAAAAAGCAGTTATATGCATCTCTGTATAAAATGAATATGTCAATTTTGTGCATGTTCAAGACGTGAAATGGATGCATGAAATACACAGTATACTAGAGAGGTGACAGAAATGCAGTAAATCAACTTTCTGTCTGTCTCAAATTCACAGAGAGAAAGTCAAATTACTGTTCCCGGCACCCCCACCCTTGTATAGGTGAAACTACAATGATATGATACAGCCTCCTGGCAAAAGCTAAGCTTGAATTTCCCAAATTTTGATAGAATAAAAATGAGCAAAAATGAAACAGCGAACAAGTACATTATAGATTGCATAACAGATTTTCTTTTAATTTCTACGGTACACAGAGAAACATGTTACTGTGGAAAATGTAAAATAAAAGTGATAGACCACATGGTATTAAAGTATTTTATCCGCAAAATAAAACAATACACAACTAATTTATCTCTTTTGATTGCAGCCAGTTCAGGAGACAGCAGAGTCAAAAGATGGAAGACTTTATCGAGCTAACAAACAACTTCAGGAGAAATTTGACATATTTCATACATAGTCTATATTTTTGAAAAGACTGAAAATTCCCATTATATATCCTACTATTTAACAATAAGAAAAAAAGGTTGGGACCCTATCATACTCAACATGCATCACAATTTACACATGTTTTACTATGATATAACATATACCGATACAAAACATATTTGACAAATTTGACATATTTCATACATAGTCTATATTTTTGAAAAGACTGAAAATTCCCATTATATATCCTACTAATTAACAATAAGAAAAAAAAAGGTTGGGACCCTATCATACTCAACATGCATCACAATTTACACATGTTTTACTATGATATAACATATACCGATACAAAACATATTTGACAAATTTGACATATTTCATACATAGTCTATATTTTTGAAAAGACTGAAAATTCCCATTATATATCCTACTAATTAACAATAAGAAAAAAAGGTTGGGACCCTATCATACTCAACATGCATCACAATTTACACATGTTTTACTATGATATAACATATACCGATACAAAACATATTTGACAAATTTGACGTATTTCATACATAGTCTATATTTTTGAAAAGACTGGAAATTCCCATTATATATCCTACTAATTAACAATAAGAAAAAAAGGTTGGGACCCTATCATACTCAACATGCATCACAATTTACACATGTTTTACTATGATATAACATATACCGATACAAAACATGTACATTAAATGTTTTTTTATGAGATAACTGTGATAATGAAATACTCAGCTTAATCAGCATTACACTCAACAAAATGAAAGTTAGGCTTTCTTGTGAATCCACAGTTGTAAACATATTTTATGTTTATGACGCATGTTATGACAAGTTTCATTAGAGAACCAAGAATGAAAAATAAAACCTTTCAACTAACCTTCGTTATGCGAGGGAGGCGGAGCTAATGCCAAAAACCTGAGAGTGTTCTCTTTCACCTCTTTCAGTTCGTCTCGTCCTTCTGGCTTTGCCCTCTCCAGTTCTTCTTGAAGCTGTCTCTGCAGTCGTATTCTTTGCCTTTTCACTTCTTTTTCTCGCTTGATTTTCTGAGCTAATATCTTATCAAGTTTTTTCATTTTTTTAATGGCAGCCCGCAGTTTAGGGTCCTGTATTCTGTCATCTTCATCTTCTTCTTTGCTTTGTTCTGATGTCGGCTTTGTTCTAGTGGAATCAGATTGTGGTGGTGCATTCTCATCACCGATGTTGAAGTCATCTAGAGTTTAAGAGAACTTGCAGGTTTAATGGTATTCAAAGTGAGACACAAATAAACTTTAAAAATCTCTTTGTGCTTTCAACACCGGGGAGTGAACAACTATTACTTTGTATTTCAAACTACAAAGAAAGAACACAAGATACCAGTCAAAGTCAAAGGAAACTTACTTGTATACAACAACTGCTTGTAAGAGTCTGTGATGTTTCTACTCTTCCTCTGTACACCTTCGTCTTCACTATCTGAACTCTGGTATTCAACCACCTCCAGGTCATGTTCCTAAAAAAGGTCAGAAAATGAGTACTGAATTATTTCCCATGGGTAAATATGTTTAGAAACACTCATTACTACTCTGTGTGTGATACCAACTGAACATATAGAATCAATGGGCAGTTTTCAGGCTCTTTATATGTTCCAAATGATTGAAAAAAATGTAAAGAAAATGGCGCCCACCACACAGGTGTAGTTAATATGTGTGTGTCCATAAAAACCAGCATTTTAAATTTGCTTCAATAAAACCAAAACTTGTGATATAATGTTATCATACAAACCAACATGAGAACAAACAATAGGAAAATGAAGGAAAAACCTTGATAGTCAAGATCAGAGCTGACACCACGTACCTGTCTCAGACAACACCCAACCAGTTATGACTAACACCTACCAGTGAACAATGCACAATTGCAAGTCGTTGGCATACTTATAGCTATAAACCAAGTAATTTATTACGGTTTATTGCTGGTAACTATGACAAAGTTGGAATGTATAGGTAAAACAGCAATAAACGCAGGCATAAATTACAAAACAGCTACTAAACAAGGATAAGTTCCTTTACTTAGAAGGGGAATACAAGGTCAGAATACAACGCTTAGTGAACTTTGATTGCAGTAAAAGTGAACGATGTACAATGTAGTATACTATACATTTTATGAGAGTAACAATATCTGGATAGAATTCAACATTTTTTCTGGTGAATAATTTTATTAGTATCACACAAGAAAGAAGTTTAATATAATTCAGCCTTTGAACTGGTTAGAGTACCCAAATGTTTTATTCAGTCTATTTTTCATATTTTTTACAAGTATAATAAATTATCACATTAATTTGACAAATCATGGTCTGAAAGCCTCCACATCTGCATCAGCAAGTGGTGTGTTAATAGAATAGAAGAAGCTCGTTTACAGAGAAAGTACTTGGTTATGGCTTGACGCTTGCATCATGTGTATCAGGCAAACAGCAAACATTTGTCTATGTGCTAGAGTTTGTATTTGGCATGGCAACAAAAAAAAAAATCAAAGAAACCGAGAAACAGTATTTGGAAAAGGAGTACGTGTAAATGTACCAGTATATATCCAATAACTTTCTAGACAGTTCAAAGGTTACCACAGCCAACTTGTTTTCCGTTAGGAGTATGGCACTGTTAACATTCCAACAGTTATTTTTTTTATTCAATAAATCATTAAATTTATAACATTGAGTCAGTATTAGTTTTCTAGTTATATAATAAATAAATAATTTAGCATATTTTCTGGGTCAACAATCAAGTTGTTATTTAAAAATTTCTCATGAAATAACAGTCTGTGAAGTAAATATTATCCAAAAAACAAGACTAACCTGTTGTGAAATGTCTTCAGGTGGCAGTAATTCTAGTAGTGTTGGTGTGGTTAGTCTTTGTGGTGGTCTACTTGTTGATGTTACACTGCTAAGTGATACTCTACTGCTAGGTCTGCTGCCAGTTCTAGGTCTGTCACTACTAGCAGGTCTGGTGATGTCATCCAAACTGCCACGTTCAATATTCATATTTGTTGCATTAAAAATTCTGTGAAAAGAATGGACAAATTTATTTTCATTTTTAGGAGAGTGATCACTGAGTTTATAACACGGAAGCAGAATAATAATGCTGTAAATTAAAGTATGAATACTATTTTTGTATTATTTAAATTATGTATAAATAATTACAGATGTGGGACTAAAACAAGCTGTAAATCTGTAAAATTTTAATTTCCAATATTATTGTAAGTCAATTCTCTAGAAAGCACCCTCTCTGAAAAAAAAATACAGGGTCACATAATTTATATCATTCCTCATTCTGAGTCTATATTCTAGTGTCTGATGATAACAAAATAGAGAATGTGTGTGATATTTAACATTAAATTTTGAGGGAAAAGCTTTACTTTTACTTTGTCAGGTGATTTATCAAGACTTAAAGCTTATCCAGTGCATAGGTCAAAGGTGACCAACAGCTTCAATTCAAGTAGACAGTGACATTTTTTGAACCACAATCATTCTTGTCGTCAATGGCATAGTTTCATGCTTAAAGATGAAGGGGATGCTGCCATGGCTTAATTTTAGTTATTATTCAATACAAATAAATTAGAAGTGTTGTAAGTGAATTTCACAAAATTGGCATAAAGATTTGGAATAAGTCAATTAATGTTCACTGTGCTCATACCATTAGTTTGTATATAAGTTTCATTTTCATATTTCGAAACGCTATAATAAATTTGTTTCCAAGTTCATTTAAATCTATATTTTGTTTGATTCTAAGCAAGTTATGTTTGGTTAAGATTTTGACTATGTTTTTGTATATAATTATTGATAAGAATGTTTTCAAGATAAAACACAGTCATTTCAAGGACAGTATTTAAATTCAACAAGTAGAAAAAAAATAAATGAACATAATCTATAAAGTTATATTATTTGGTAAACTCTAATATACATAGTGAAATGAACCATGAACCAAAATCAGTAGTTATAGTGTTTGCAAGGTATGCATGTGTTACCATCAAGCAATAAAGTATTGAATCTTGCTTTGGGACAAGCTCAATCAATACAACTAGCCTAGGAAGTAATGTTCCATATTTGAGTGACAACATATGTTGAAAATTGCTCTATAAATTTATAAGGAAGTGGCTTATATCAGAGATATAGAAAAAAAATATTAGAAATGGGTGCTCACTGCAAACCAATAATAATAATTAGCTAAATATTCAAATTCAGTTGTTGAGTACAGTATACAGCAATAACAAAAACACTGTAAAGTCTAATAAAGAGAAATAATATAGATTTTTGACAAATAATAGAATCATGATTTATTTATAATGTTGATAAAATGCTATATCTGTGACCTAAGTGTTATTTGTACTCTGACCGGTGACTGATCACTTGAAACATGAATGAAAACACTTGCATACAGTAAAATTACAAAAATTGCAAAATAATAAAGATAGAGTTTCAAACATGAAGAAAAAAATTTGTGACACAATGTAGTTGAAATGTTTTATTCAGTCTATTTTTTTATATTTATAATAAATTATCATATTACTTTAACAAATTGCAGTCTGAAAGCATCCACGGATAGCAGAAAATGAATAATCAGCTGGTATAGTCTATTGGTTGAACACCAATTTTAGTCAGTTTACTAAATTAATCTACCTGTTTTATACACAGTACGTGGATTGCTACTTTTAAACATCTGTTATTTCATACAGTTTGTTTCATTTTGACTGTTTATACCAATGATATGTATATATTTTATCCAAGATGGCGGCATTCAGAAAATGTTTTATGCTTAACGCATCAAATAAATATTTCTTGATCAACATAAAAAACTTTAATTATTTTAACATCATGAGTTAAATAAATTTAATTAATTAAAGCTAATTAATTTGTTGCTCAAAAACAGTACTGCAATTAATTAACATAGTTACCAACCTGGTTTCTGTTTGGACTCTGAAAATTGAATACTGAACCTGCTTTTATTTTGTGAGTCATTGAAAATTGTGATATTTTGTAGCAGTAAAAATGTCTCTGATGTCCTATGACACGGAGTGTTGGTGATTTTTATGAAATTTTGTCTTTACCAATGAAAAAAATTTCTAGCATCCAAAAATTTACAGTTCAGAGCTGTGGTTGGGGGCATCACATGATTTTATTACCCTGACAGTCTATAATAGCCAGGACGACCTATTGTAAAACACTTTATTTTCGCTTGGAACTTATTTTCGCTGAAAGAATGAATGAGTGAAAATAAAATCCAGTGAATATACCTTTTTTCTTATATTTTACATTCAACTTGTCAAAAATCAGTGAAAATAAATTCCATACGAAACACCAAAAAAGTCTTTTCTGCGAAAATTAATCCTAGCTAAAATAAAGTATTTCACAGTATACTAGTCCTACATCTGTTTCAGCCATATATTAATATGTATGAGCCAATATAGTGTATTGTATTTTCCCTATGGAGGGACTGTGGTGTGGATTTTGTATATACCGGTACTTGTGTTTGAGATAGTTAGAACATGATATGGTCATGAATATAATCTCTTGACTGGCAACACATCGTTATATTTTACTTAACAATTATTTGCAATTATTTACATTATATAATCCAATCTACAACGGAATTTTGAAAGCTAATCTAATAAACTCAAATTTCCAATGGTCTGGGGAAAGAATTAATATAAATTTGACAAAATGATACACGCTAATGGTTAGAATACAGCGTCTATGAGGCCAAATTTATGTTCAAAATTAAAATATAAGATTTATGTTAAATGTATAGTTACAGACCGACTTCAAAATACCATAACAACCAACGACGCTGAACTTTTGACCTGGAAACACATGACGTACGTCGCCATTTGGCTTATTTAGAAAATAACTGACAACATACTATATGTAAATCGAAGGACACATTTGTGATAAATACTTACAGATAACTTCGATAAACGAAACAAGGACGGAATTATTCAACAATATCGAAGACAAGACCGACTGCGATACAGGGAAAGTCAGCCATTTTGGAATGTCCCTTTGCACATGCGCATTGTGATTAACTGTGAACTCTGACCGCATCCATTCAATTTTCAGGCGTGCTTTAGTTTTAGCGGTCAATCAACTTCACTACATACACTGCGGAATTGATCGAATTGGTTCAAATATGAGTCTCCGGGAAAGTAAAAAACTATCTGCATTTTCTGTATTCAAAACCAAAAGCAAGGTAAGATTGGAGTAAAGCAATGTGTAACGTGCCATAGAAATAGACCAACCATGTGTTGCGTCCATGGTATATATACCATAGGACGATTTTATGTCTCGTGTATAGCGGTTCATATCGCTATACATTGTGAATGTGACCATGACCATGGTACACACACTTGCATTTAAATGTGTGTTGTAAACGTAAGCTATATTTGAGTTGCAAAATTGTTGATGGCGTGCATGAATATTTAATCTACACCACCAATACATGTATGTATATAGAATATATTTATTGCTTACATTTAGAAAAGTACATTTTCCTATTTTTTTTTTTTTTTTTTTTTTAATATTATGAAAAGACTTCCTTGAGGCCCATAACCTAAACCCTAACCCTAACACTCCAGCTTCCTAGTTTGTCCCGAAGAGGAGCATATACAATTATAATAGGTGAAGGGCACTGGCGGGCAAGGTTAGAATTAGAGTTATAGTTATTTTTTTTAAGAATAATTAATACCACAACAACAAGATATGTGTTTAATGTTTATTGAATGATGTTTTTCAATGCAATCATTAAAGTTTGGTTTGTTTTGTCAAAACAGAAAACAAAACATTTACCATATTGTTTACTGACCGTAGATGCACCTCCATCATTTACATAAGCGCATACACCTCTATGAACTGTTAAAATCACTGTAACCGTGGACAACCATGACATTTTTCAGATTATACATCATTGATTTATTGAGGCGTATTTATTAAATTTGATTGTCTAAAATATTTTCTCTCTGCTCAGCAAAACATTGCTAATACGAATGGTGATACAAAACAATCAGATGGACGCCCACCGTTAGACAAAAAAACACAGAAAGCCATCACTAAGAGAATTCGTCAATCCTTGCGAAAGAAACCGAAAGACAGACCATCATGCTTGCCTGACAGTGCAACAACACCTATCTCAAGTCTGAACACTGCATCTCCTCAGCGAAAGAAGGATCATAAACCCAGTACGCCCTCTAGGACTCCTGTAGGTAAGCACATGTTTCATTTAGTAGAACTTTGAAATGCTGGCGACAATTGTTGTAAAAAGAAAATCAACATGTCATCAGTTAATTTTTATTCATGCCTGGGCTGATTATGTTCAAACTTGGTATTGATATTCCTCATGATGGGTTATTCAATTATCTGATTTTATTCATAACCCATCTGGCTTCCATTTAGATTTCTTGTCCAAAAAATGTGTTTTAAGCTTTGTGCAACCATGCATGTGTGTGTGCATATACACATGTGTTTCAGACATATTGGACAAATTACATTCAAACTCCATATGCATGTATACATTATGCATCTTGGGAAACATATGCACGCTCATTGGTTTTGTATGGCCATTTTTTTGCTAAAAATTCATGAAAAACGAGCATTTCTGTCATTCCAGAACTAGATCTCTCTCATGTGAAAATGTTCGTTCTCATGTAAGGATGTTTCATTTGGTACAAACATTGGACAGTATGAGGCCTGATGCACTTCTGTTTGTTTTTCAGATCAGATTTAAAATAGTCAACCACAGTGCCTTTATCAGATAGAGGGACTGTGAGTCAACCATTCGCAAATTTGGTTCCACAACTATACATGCATCTCTGACATGCCCTGACCAATCATGTTCAAACTTTATACATGTACATCTTGTTGCAGATATGCAGATTTATTCAAAATGGTCGAATTGCAGTTGTTTTAATGTTAAAAATTCATTAAAATCAAGCATTTTTGTAGTTCCAGATTTTGTTTAAATTTGGTCTAAAGACAAGTCATAAAGGAGTTTATGCATATCAATTTTTTTAATCAGTTTTGGAGATGTAAATGACCTCAAATGTAAATTCAGCCAAATACAACATAAACAGCAGTAACATCGTCATTCATATGCTATTGTGTATGTTCTATGTACAGACACTGTTTTGTGTAAGCTATATGTAAACACTTGCTGCGTTGAATCAACCATTACTGATATCTACATGTATGTTTTGGCTAATGTTAATGGAAGTAGTCTGAATGCAGTAACTATTTTAAACTAACCTTTTCACCACCAGTTGCCCCTTCTCATCACAAATTCACAAAATAGTCCCGTTTTTTGTTTATTGGCTTCAAAATTAGGGTTCATTTCCAGAAATGTCTGGTGGTGAAAAGGTTAATGCCTACTGAGGCCGAAATGAATGTGAAAAAACAGACGATGTCCACATATTAGTGTCTGTTACATCACAGACTGAATTATCTTTGGTTGTAGTGCAGATTTATTTTGGTTTCTTTTCATTATAACTTATGTGATGTTATTAATTGTAAGGTGTAACAAGGAAAGCTAGTATCAGAGAAAATAAGGACAGGAAAGAGAAAGAAAACAAGAAAGATGAGAATGAAGAAAGTGACAGACCAAGAAAGAAGAGAAAAGTTAGCAGTGATAAAAAAGTAATTGATTCTCTTCATTTCTGATTGCAACAGTATTTCTACAACAGTTTATGTGTGAAAAAACAATAAAAACAAAAACTGATTTGGAAAATATCCATGTCTTGCTTGGTGAAACATCGTGGTAAAATGGGTTATCATTCAGGTTTAACAAAAAGAAGTTACTGAGTTGCCATGGTTACATCTCTCTGCCAGGAAGAAATGGGAAGCTGGTGCATTTATATAGCAGTATTTTGTGCTTACTTCCTCTAAGAGTTGCAATGGTTTTACGAGTAAGATTGATATGGAATTGTATTATATGATATTGGGATTCCCAAAGCTTCATAACTTTTAAAACAGTAAATGCATTAATTATTCACGGATAGGTAAAATTTTCTAGATTAAATACATACGAACAAGTAAAATAACAATAGAACTCATTGTTTACCTGCAAAGTTTGTCATCTGTATGACCCAAAACATCAAAATAGTGAAATTAAATGCGCATGAAAATGAATAATTTTACAGTAATCAGGATGCCTTTAACCAACTTTACAGGGTTCCAAAGAAGAGGATTATTCTTCATCCGCTTCGTCTTCATCATCGTCAGGGAATAAGAACATCATCACGCCGTCACAGTTTCTTTCGCAAGAAGTCCAGTTTGAGGATAGTTCTATTGAAGCTGAGAAACTCTTCGAATGGATGATAAATCCAGTAAAACCAAAAAACTTTTTCAGGTAAGTCACCATCTATAGTACATGAAGAATAAGACAAGGAGGAAAATTAAAGCAATTACAGAAAAATGTTTCGCCAACAATTTTTTGGAAAATTATTATTTCCTTCAATAGATTAGCTCCTATTTTATTCTAATCAATTTTATTCATATCGAAAGTAATTTATGGGAAAAGAAACCATTATTGGTGAAACGACACATGGCGTCATACAATGATGGATGGTTTAGTACGGATGAAATGGATCAGATTATCAGAGAAGTAAGTTGAAACATATACTGTAAAATACATTATTTTTCAGTATTTTTGCTGAAGGGGTGATTTATTTAAAATAAAATCCAGCAAATATACCTTTTTTCCTATATTTTACATTCAACTCTCCAAAAATCATTGAAAATAAACTTCGTACAAAAAAATCTTTTCTGCAAAAATTTTGTGTCAGTAATGGTTTATTGTTTGAATCACAGAATGAATTGGAATTCACACGAAATATTGATGTTACTTCTTACACTGATGGTAAACGAGAAACCCACAATCCTGAGGGACGTGCATATCCTTCAGTGGTGTGGGATTATTATCAGGTAAGACACCACATGTACAGTGAAACCTGACATACGCTGAACTGGAATAAACCGGTTAAAATTTTAAAAAAGTATATGGATGTAGAGATCTTTTATACAAACACACAATGTAAAGAAGTGACTGCAAAAATCATCACTTGTGACGTCGTTTTAGATTGTACAATGATCACTTTAGGCAGGTTTCATTGTATTGTGAAATATTCACATGTACACCAACATTTTTTTTTATTTCATTGTATTTCTCAGCATTTTTTGATTGCTTGGGATCACAAATTGCGTGTACTGTAAAACCATTTATTTTCACTAGTTCGATTTATAAGTTTTTTTTAAAATAATGAATTCTATTGTTATTCTACATGTTCACATGGATTTAATTTAGCAAATTTTACTTAGGTAATAGCGAAATTAAAACCTAGTGAATAATTAAAGGGAACCTCAATGCGACTTTAAATCATAGTTGCGTATATTCTAAACTGTATACCTGTGATTTTGTTAGGCATTTGAAATGCTTACAATTAAACACCATGGAGGCCATTCATGGAGGGGGAATAATAATATACTATTTATTTCAGACTAATAAGTCCATATCCACACATACACACAAAATAATAATAATAATAGTAAATAAATACTAGAAAGAACAACAAACAAAAATAACGAACGAACATATTTAACATCCGGGTACTTTTCAAAGCTATGACGTTTTAGTATCTGATC